GAGCCCAGGAGTCAGAGGCTGCAGTGAGCTGTGATGACCCCACTGCACTCCAGCCGGGGCAACAGAGGGAGACCCTGTCTCCCAAAAAAGAAAAAGAAAAGGGTCCTTTGACCCTTACTCGGGCCCTTCCTATAACTCTCCCCCCATGTGTCCCAGTGTCCCTGGCCTCAACAATTCTCCAAGACCGAGTCTAAAGTCTGTAGTGGCTATGAGAAGTAAGCCTTATGCAATGAGAACTATAAAACATTGCTGAAAGAAACTGAAGAAGACATAAATAAACGGAAGCACAGCCTATGTTTATGGACTGGGAGAAACTGGAAGCCCTGCGCACTGCTGGTAGGAACGTAAAATGATGCGGCCACGGTGGAAAACCCTATGGTGCTCCCTCAAAAAGTTAGGCACAGAACTGCCGTGTGACCCGCACTCCGGCTGGGTACGTCCGCAGAAGAGTCGCAAGCTGGTCTCCAAGAGACACCTGTACGCCCATGTTCGCGGCACCATTCTTCGTAATAGCCAAAAAGTGAAAAGGACCCCGAGCGCCCATCCGCTGATGAATGGATGAACAAAACGTACGTGCAAACAGTATCATTGAGGCTTAAAAAGGGAGAAAATTCCGACACCTGTTACGACACGGATGCGCCTTGAGGACGCTGCGGAGAGACGGGAGCCAGGCACGGAGCGACCAGTGCTGCGTGGTGGGTGCGTGTGATGCACCCGGGTTCCAGGGCTCGGGGAGGGGAGTTAGGAGTTAATGTTTAATGGGGACAGTTTCAATTTCACAAGACCAAAGGATCTCTGCAAACGTGGCCGTGATGGTTGTGCAATATTAAGAACATATTTCATACCACCGACGCGAACACTTAGAAATGGTTCAGATGGTAAATTTTATGTGTCCTTGACCACGATAAACAACTGAAAAAGAAGGGATCAGTCATTTGACCCTTACTGAGGCCCCACGTACCTCCCCGCAGTGTGTCCCGGGGTCCCTGGCCTCAGAAGTTCTCCAGGACTCGAGGCCAAAGTCCAGAGTGGCTGTGAGTGGCCTGAGCCCAGTCCTAGTGGCGCGCGCGGTGTGGGTTTTGGGGGGTGTTTCTGCTGCCTGCTGCGGGTGCCGGGGCGTTGGAGCGGCCCCTCCTGGCTGGCGCGGAGGAGCTCCTTCCTCGTGGAGCCACCTGGGGGCGCCAGTGCTGATGCACGCAGGGGCCGTCGGCTGTGTCCACCCCCGGGCCTCCGCCCTTGCTGTGCGGCCACATCCGGTCTGGCCGACAAGACTGCCTGTTTCAGGGTCGTTTTCGCCAGACTCAGGACCAGCGCTGGCCGTGCCGGCTTCACTGGCTCCGGGCTTAGCGTGGCATCTAGCTGGGCGGAGGGCTGATCCCACAGCCAGGGAGGGGTGGAGCCACGGCACAGGTGACCTTGGCCCTTCAGGCCCTGGCACAGTTCCTCCCACACTGCAGGAGGAGACAGGCGGAGAGCAGGTGGGACTGAGGGGCCTCTGGGCCCCTGGCCCGGGCTGGCGCAGTCCCGGAGCAGCCTTGCCACACCTGAGAGCCTGTGGTGACTGCCTGGCCAGGCCAGGTGTCCAAGGTGTGGCTCACACTCAGGCTCCCAGATAAGGGTGTGGCAGGTCCAGGTGCGCCCCGTCGTGCCGCCGCTCGGCCTAGGCGTCCGGGCATGACGGAGGTCGTGCACATTGTCTTCCCAGGAGTTTTTATTCTTCAGAGAGACGTTTCTAAGTTGTCGCAGGTGCCTTCTTGCCCAGGAGGGTCCTGGACACCGCTGCGTCCCAGCCCGGGTCTGGCCGCGGCCGCGGCGCCACGCTCGCTGCGTGGGTTCGCTTGGGGTCCGCATGTCCAGCCTGCCCCTCACCCGCAGGCGCTGAGCGCGAGGCCCGCCCAGGCCGCCGACACTGTCCTTTCTTATATTCTGCTTTTCCTTTTCCCGTCAATAACAATTCTCTTATTTTTCAAAAACCCAAATGCTGGCATTGTCCAGAAAAGTTTAACAGGTTTACTTATCGTTGTTGTAAGTCAAACTGCAAGACTCGTTCACGGAAGCATTTTGACCTGCGTTCCTGCTTTATGTCCCCACGTTTATGTTAAAAATTCACATACAAATGAAAATGGAAAAACTTCAGTACCTGCTTCTGTCCCGCTCGGTGTGGCCAGCACGCAGGCTGGCGTCTTCAAACCGGCCAACCAGAGAGGCCTCCAGGCCCCCGCGTGGAGAGCTAGCACCGTCTGGCACCAGAGCCCAGAAGGGGCCATTGCGAGCGAGAAGCGCAGCGGGTTTCGGAGAACGGCCGGGGCCACGGTGCTTCACCCCAGCAGAGGGCGCACTCTTGCGGGTGGCTTTCGTGGCCAGTGGCTTCCCGAGTGCTTTGCGCTGTGCGGGCCGCGCAGTGGACACCTCCGTACCCCTGCTCCTGCCGTTGGAGCCGGCGAGTGAGGGGCAGCGCTGGCGTTGGAGAGATGGCCGTGAAGCGGCGGCTGGGAACACCGGCTTTTTCTGAAAAAATAGAGAATCGGCATGAACGAAAGATCACCCCATACGAGGCTATCAAGCGGAATCCCCGCAGCCTTCCCAAGCCTCGCTGCAGAAGCCCAGGCTGCCGCGCGCAGAGCCCTGTCGCGTGTGAAGACGCCCTCGAACCGCATGTGCTCGGCGCCTTGCCCCTGCCCCGCCCCCCTCTGGCCCAGTGCTGGGAACCTCTGCCCTGGGCCCACCTGCCGCCCCAACCCCTGCCCGGGTTCCCGTCCCGCCCTGCGGCGTCTGAGAACAGGGCAGAGGGCATCGACTGCACTCTGAGGGGCACCTGCTTTTGTATCCACTTCCTCATGGGTCGTTTTCAGTGTTTACTACAAACAGTGCTGGCGTACACGTGTGGGTGCTGGTGTTTTTGTAAAACACGCCCACACAAACAGAACTGCAGGCCCGAGGGTGTGCTGGGAGCCGCTGGGTCTCCCCCGGGAGGCCTCGTGCTGGCTCTCCCCCGGGAGGCCTCGTGCTGGCTCTGGCGGCTCGGCTGTCCTCAGCGTGACTTGTCCCAGCCATGGGCCAGTGCGCTGTAGTGGCTGCCAGACCGGGCGACGCTGGGGCTTACGGTGTGTGGAGTCATCCAGAGTGTCTGCGGGGATGTCAGTGTGGTTTTAAGCAGCTTTCTTGTCCTGTCCATTCGCTGCCCTGAGTCTCGGTGTGGAGCGGGCTCCTGGCCCGGCCTGCGCGGTGAACGCTCGTGTTTGATTTCAGACAGGCTGACGGGCGCAAAGTCCTGCGGTCCAGCATCCGAGAGTTCCTGTGCAGCGAAGCCATGTTCCACCTGGGAATCCCCACCACGCGGGCCGGGGCCTGCGTCACGTCCGAGTCCACGGTGGTGCGCGACGTGTTCTATGATGGTAATCCAAAATATGAACAGTGCACAGTTGTGTTGCGTATAGCTTCCACTTTCATAAGGTAATGCCGGGGTCCTTCAGGCCTGTCTGTGTGCACTTGCTTGCGGAGTCAGGAGATTGCGCTTACGCAGCTAGAACGTCTCGTAGAAGCAGTAAACCGAGTGACGGCCCTGTCCCCTTAGACAGTCAGGCCTGTCCCTGGAGCAGTCTCAGAAGCAGACTGTCCACGAAGTGGATGCTTCCCGCCCGCGGGGAGAGATTCACAACGCGAAGGCACATGGCTTTCTGGCTCAGGGTCCTGTCCTGTGTGTGGACGGTGGTGCCCACGGTCCCCGTCCAGGGCCTGGTCGCAGCCAGCAGGAGCGGGAGAGGCAGAGGCTGAGGCCACCTGCCTGGACGCCTTGAGGCACCAGAGACCGGTGCAGGAGCTTGGGCACCAGAGGGGAGCCCCCAAGCGGCACTTCCTGGGAGGGTCTGCAGAGTGTGGGGTTCTGGGAAGGCGCACGGAGCTGCTGTCCGGGAGTTACGACAAGGACCTACTCACACGTGACCAAGGAAACGGCCTCACTCAGTGCCTCACCCACGTGGCGTGTCCCAGTGCCTGGCTGCCACCCTGGGGATGGCCCAGCGCTGGCTGGTGTGGACTCCCTTGGGGCTGGCGCCTGTCCTTGACGGGAGCCTGGCATCCAACACCTTCTCAGTGCCGACTGCCTGGACCGAGTGCCCAGAGGTCCTAGTTAGTCTTGGGCTTCTCCCGACCTGCCGGGGCCGCCCGCCGCCCGTGCCTGAGGTGACTGTGTCGGTCTCTGGGGGAGGGGACCTGCCCGACCCCGGGAGAGCCCCCTGCACAGTGGCCAGTGGGCACTTTGACGTGGGCCGTCTGTGCCTTGCGCAGTGTTGAGAGCGTTCCTGGCTTCTGCCCACCGGTTGCCAGTAGTGACCCCAGCTGTGACAATGAAAACATGTCCAGATGCCGGCTGAGGTCCCCTGGGGGACAGTCGCCTGGTTGAGAGTGCCGCTGACCACTCCCGACACGGTGTCCCTCGCAGCTGGCCCTGCCCTCCCCCAGGGTGCCAGACAGGCTGTGTCCGTCCCTCCGCATGGAAGGACACGCAGCCTGCGGGGACAGGCCTTGGTCCGTGCCGGCTGCCGACGTGAAACGCGTCTGTATTGGTCGTCTGGAGCCAAGATACGTTTTGGTTGCCTGTTTGCTTTTGTTTTGATCAAGCTTCTCTTCCTGCTGTAGGGCTACAAGATCTAGTAGCCGTAACTTTTTCTTCTTTATTTTCACAAGGGGCCGGGGGCCTGTTGACCTACTGAAAACTCGAGTCTTCCCTCCAGGTTCGGATCCTTTGAGATTTTTAAGTCCACAGACGAGCACACAGGGCGTGCGGGCCCCAGCGTGGGGCGGAACGACATCCGCGTGCAGTTGCTGGACTACGTGATCAGCTCCTTCTACCCCGAGATCCAGGCCGCCCACGCCGGTGACAGGGTGCAGAGGAACGCGGCCTTCTTCCGGGAGGTGGGTGGGCACTGGTGCCCTCGCCTGCTGCGGAGCACACGGTCGTTTCGGCTGATGGACAGAGCCGTTGCCCGGAGTCCCCGCCCTTCTCTGAGCCCCGTCCTCTCCCGGGGACTCGTGGGCGGACTTCTCCCAAAGCCCAGGGTCACGGACCCGGCAGCATTGACGGGCCCTGTGTCTGCTCTCGGGTCCGGGGGGCCTCGGCAGGCGGGAGAGCGTGGCAGGGAAGCAGTCGGCTTGGGGGACGCACTGCTGGGTGCTGGGGTCAAAGCTCACGGTGGCCCCAACCACACACACCACCCTGGAGCAGCACAGGGCGTTGACTTGGGGGAGACGCTGACTGCCCTGGCCTGGGTCTCGGCCCACCCCCCCAGCTGTCAGGCGTGGTCCCTGCCCCACAGACGGCGCACCCGCCCCCCCACGACCTGACCTCCTTTTCGGAGGTCGCCGGAGTGCAGTGGGGGGACCCGGCCTTGCCCGGTGGGCGGAGGCGATGGGGGAAGGCTCAGGCCGTGTGGGGGGCGGGGGCTGGGACCACTCGGCTCACCAGGGCCGGGTGTGGGCCCATTTCAGCGTGTGGCTTGGGGGCGGCAGTGAGCGCCAGGCGGGATTTGCTGGGCTCCGTCCTGCGCGGTCAGTCCCTCCACCCCCACCCCGGCCCCCTCCGTGCAGGCGAGTGATGGGGCCGCAGGTGCCGGGAGGGCCGGTGGGCTCCGCCTCACGCTCTGGCGCAGACGTGGCGGGCGGCCTGAGCCTTGGTGTTTCTGTCAGTGAAGCAGGACGGTGCCAACCGACTCCTAGGGCTTCCACGGCCTCCCAGGAGGCGACGTGTGCGCAGGGCCTGTGCCCAGTGAGGCGCCTGGCGTCCGGTTGGGCGCAGGGTCACGGGGCCCTTGGGTGCAGCCCTGCGTCTTGGGCTCTTGTTCTCGAAGTCCCGCTGGTGCTGGGCTGTGCAGGGGCTGCTGTCTGGTTCGGGGTCGAGTGAGCAGGGCTGGCAGCCAGACCCTGGCCCTAGTGGCACCAGAGGGGAGGTGGCACAGTGACCTGCACCGAGGACAGGTTTTGCCCAGCGACGTGGTAACTTCCTTCCTTGCTTCCACGGGGTCTTCCTGCTGGGCCTGAGGCTGGGGCATGTCAGGGTTCCCTCGTCTCTGGTTTGGGTAAGGCCAAGTTGGTGAGCACATGAGGGAACAGACGGTGTCAGTGGGGACTGGAACCCACACCTTCCAACTCCCTCGGAAAACTTTCTCCTTTCCTCACAAAACATTCTCGTCTCCCCCATGGTCGAGATTACAGATACTGGAACAGGCCCCTGGAAGTCCCCGGAGAGCGAGAACCGCTCAGATTGGCGCAGCTAGTCCGGGGTGGGAAGGAGGGCGGGAGGCTGCCCTCGCTCAGGACGAGAGAGGGCAGGGCCCACGGGAGGGAGCGACAGCCTCTGCCCCGCCCCAGGTGACACGGCGCACGGCGCGGATGGTGGCCGAGTGGCAGTGTGTCGGCTTCTGCCACGGCGTGCTCAACACCGACAACATGAGCATCGTGGGGCTCACCCTCGACTACGGGCCCTTCGGCTTCCTGGACAGGTGAGCAGCCTGGGGGGGGCGGGGAGAAGGCCGGGCGTCTGTGACGTTTCGTTCCGTGTTTGGTTCTCCTCGGCAAGGCCTGGGCAGCCGTTCCTGGAAGCAGAAACCCTGGAGGGTTCTGAGCAAAGCAGTGTGCGCTGTCTTAGCATTTTAAAGAGGGCCCCTCCGCTGCTGGGTTGAAAAT